TATACAATTTTTATCATTTATTGTATTTTCTAGAATTTCTATATTTTTATTGTTTTTTATGCAATTTCCATTTTCTTTAACTTACCTACTCTATTCACCATCGCTAAGTTTAGCAATGAGAGCATTAAACTTCTTTCACTTTGGGTAGTGCTTCATCAAATGCTCCTCTCCAAAAATGTAGCAAGTGGGAGAATGAGTTAGTCTTTCTTTGTGTTTGTTGTTATAAGAACTTTGATCTCCTTGTGGTTGCTTTCCCTTCTGGTATTGGGGTGGCCAATTATGGTAGGTCTGCTTTTCTTGAGGGGAGACCGGTTGCCTATCTCCCCACTCAAATTTGAGGTATCTAGACTAGAAGGCTTGACGGATTCATCATCCGGCAATCCCATCTCATTTAATTGCTTGGCCACTTCCATGGCTATAGTAAGGTCTTGAATGCCTTGCTGTTGAAGTTTTAATTCCGCCCATGGTTGTAGCCTATCTATGAAGTTGAATAACAAGTGTTTGTTGGACATGTTAGTGATTTCCAAGGCAAGAGCTGAAAACTCTTTGATGTACTCATGGATGGAGTTGTCGTGCTTGAGGAACTTCATCCTACGGTGGTAAGCAAGGTACCCACGTTCTTTAGGTAAATTGTCTCTTCAACTCCCACTTGAAATTGGCCCATGTAACTACAATGCACGTGCCCCATTCATTGTCGATGCACCTTTTGCACCACCACAACATAGCAACATCGGTCACATACATAGCTATTGTGTACCTAAGCCTTTTGGTCATCGATACTGGCTGCCACAATATATTGTTTCATTTGCTATAGGAAATTATCAAGTTCTCGTGCATTACGTGTTCTAGAACAGGGAGTTGGCTCCCTAATCTTGACGTGGGTAGTAGTGTGCACGGATGAGGTGCTAGCCAGATTGGCGGTGGCTCTCATCATAATTGCACACTTTGCCTTGAGTTCATCTCTTTGAGTCTGGATATTGGCAGAAATACATGTGGGTGTCTTCATAGCAGTCCATTCTTCTCTAATTTCATTCAGTTGGGCATGGATAGCCGTTGGAGAGGACATGGTTCTATTCCATGTTGCCCATTCGTTTCTTATTGGCATGTGGAGCTACAAACTTCCTTGAGCATATAATTGAGTGCATCACCGACCTCGTCCACAACCCCGCTTAGGCAGCTTGCCACTTCCACCACTGCACTCTCAATGGCTTCCATGTTTTGATGGAGCTTGTTCACCCCAACCACGCATCTCGCCCATTGTGGCTTTGCAATGTGGCATGAGCATGTCAATGGCCGCGTGTTTGTCAGTGGATTTCTCGTGCTTGCTTGTTTTAGATGTATGATTCTTTGGTGTTTTGTCCTTGTGGGTGTCATCCCTCCAGTGCCTCATTCGTCTAATAGGCTTGGAAGTCCATGCTTGATCTCGGTACAACACATGTGCTTTCCATGATCTGCGGAATACATGATCTCTGTAAAGCATGTATGCTTTGCTAAAGCCTCTTATGAATATTTACAAGTGCTCATTGAACATGCTTACTATATTGTGCCTAATAGATTCCATCCCAACACTAGTCCAGATTAGGTAGTTAGAAAGTTATAAGTAGAGCACTTAAATTTATTTTTGACACCTGTCCCTTAAAATACCTCCAACCTAAACCTTGAAAAAGATTAAAAACCAATTTTGATAGTTGTCAAAATATTTACCAAGTATTCATTGGAAGTGCTTACTATATTGTGCCTATTAAATTCTGTCGCTAATGACACATGGTGAAATCATAAAGAGGCCCCGCTATGTGATCTAACACATCTATCTGTTGAATCAGCCTAAAGATCTTAGCTTAACCGACTTGGAAATGTTCTGGAATTCTTTATTCCTTATACATGTGTGCTCCCTTTTTGGCCTATAAAGAGGAAACCTTTCTTCTAAGAAGGGGTCTTCCATTCTTAATCCTTTATTTAGTTTTACCAAGCCCCATGACCCTAGTTTCTTCAACTTCAAAATCCAGACTTAGCTTCCGCCAAAAGAAGCATTTGAATCTAGCTGAGCAATCATCCACAACAGAAGCAGTATAATCCTTGATCACTCCTAAGAAGGGCGGCATATGGTGAGTTGGGTTGGGCGTGGGCCAACCCTTCAACCCATTTGCCACCCATATTTACTGATGTTAGTGGGTTACAACCCATCCTAATCCACCTATATGACCCACTTTGGGTGACATTTTTTTTTTAATTTTTCTCTATTTCAAATACATTAAACATAAAAAAATCAATTAAGAAAACATAAAGATGATAAAAGGTTCAAAAAATATTTTTCAAATAAAAAAAATGCACAAAACACTAAAAATAATAAATATATTTCATGCAAAACATAAACAATTATAGAAAAAATAAAAAAATTAAGTGAAAGTTATCATTTTCACATAAAACAGAAAATTGTAAAAACACAAAAATTGCAGAAAAATGAAAAAAATTACAAAAATACAGAAACTTGAAAAAATATAAAATATGAAATATAGAAATTGTAGAAAAACGAAAGAAATTATAAAAAATTATAGAAGAAACACAAAAATTATAAATAAATAACAAAAAGATACAGGAAAATGTATAAACTGCAAAAATAAAAGAAATTATGAAACATTTAGAAAAACTATAAAATTCAAAGAAAATACAAAAATTATGGGAAATACAGAAAATTAGAAAAATATAAAAAATTCAGGAAAAACAACAAAAATTATAATAAAGCAAAAAATGCAAATAAATAACAAAAAGCACAAGAAAACCATGTAGGAAAATTACAAAAACTGATAGATTCTTTTAAATTTTTTTATTATCAGAAAAAAAAACGTAAAAATGTAGGAATTTTTTTAAATTAATTGAAATTTCAAAAAATATATAAAAATATAAAAATCTTTTTTGACAAAATATATTACATGCAATGGATTTGTTTTGTAATCTGGTTCACATAGGAAGACGATGAACGCGAAATTGGATTTAAACCAGATCTGGTGTGGTGTGATCCCTCCAATCTGTGTCTACATCGATTTGGTTCTACGTGGCAGAAACCTCTTTGATCTGTCTGCGAATCCAGATCTCGGTTCTACCATAGAAAAAATCCCATCGGCGAACAGATCATGGGTACCCTCGACCCTTATTGATGGGGTCAAAATTGTCAGAACAAACACTCCCAAAACTTCCCTCCTAAATTGGCAAGAGCCGATGTTAAATACCAACGACTTGAAAACCGAACCGTTCGAGCTATGGATTTTGGTTGATGATCCGACCGTCCGATTCGAATAGATGATTTATAGTAAAATTAAAAATTAAAAAAATAAAAAAATGATCAAAAACTGTTGAACGGATCAATGATTTAACCGCCCAGATTAACAATTATTGACTTTTTCAGTTCCCGAACGAAACGGTCCGACCGTCCGAATTTATGGTGGTCGAAAACGTTGCTAAATACTTTGGTCGTTGAACATACGTAAAAGCTGGCTCAAAACATTTTTGTGAGATCGGGTTCTGTGCACCCGTGAATGGGTGATCGACACGTCGACCAGGCCAACGTTAATGCACGTTTGAGCGTTAACGTGGTCTGGTCCGGTTCATGCGAAAACGAACACGAACCGGTCGAGTACCCCATCAAAAAACCCCTTTTTCTTGTTTCTTCGATTCTTCTTTCAGTTGTTTTTCCGTTTCTCTCCACCGAACCCTATCCATACAATAGAGTAACCCTTGTCTATCGACGGCGACAGAGCTCCGGCGGCGAATCGACAGCGACGTATCCTTCTTCTCTTCTTCTTCGACTCTCCATTATTCTTTTTCTCTTCTTCTTCGTCTTCTCCGATGGTAGGTCCGATCTAAAGAACGAACAGGTAAAACACGTCGACCAGAAACATCTCACATCCCACAAGTATCCTGTTCTTCTACATGGTGCTTGAAATTGCTGCTGGTTATGTTACTGGGTTTCTGTTTCATGGCGTGTTGGTTATGTTGCTGGGTTTCTGTTTCATGGCGTGTTTCCTGCTTCTTCCCTGGTATTGCTTTCCTGATACTAACCACTCAATTTCCTATTGTGGGGTAGCCATAGCACAGGGGTCATTCCAATTTCAGAGTACCCCTTACTCTTGTGGGTGACTGGATGCGTATCTTGGGGCCAAGGCACCTTACATTGAGTACTCAGTTCAAACCAATCAGATCCCTGGAACCCTCCCTCTTCATTGAATTCTTCTTTATAATGTTCATCGCTTTGATCATTCTTGTTGTAATCCGACAATGTGAAGTAGAGATAGAGGGACGATGTGAAGAAGAGATGGAGGGACGTTGTTACTGTGCTCCGACAACGTCCGACGCCTACAGCGAGGACGAAGGCGACGAGATAGAGGGAGACCACCATCGCTGTCTCTCTCTGGATCGGCTTAGTGAGATGAACGGCGGGATCTGCTTATGTTGATGATGCCCTTCGTTTTCACTCTCTCCCTGCTTTTCGCCTTGGCCATCGGAGGATAAAGCCTCATGGACTCGTAGAGGCAAGCTTTCAACAATAGCAAGTCTTCGATTTCCACTCGGTTCAACCAGCCAAATTATTAATAACGGAGAGTGCACAGAATGCGAGCTCCATTTTTGTCATCAGCCACTTTTATTTCTTTCTTCACAGTTCACAATGTTAAATATTTAAAATGATTGGGCCACTGCAATACATGTAAGGCCATGGTTTTAGCCCTGTGCAGCAAAACTGAACTAATAACAGTGTGCACTGCACTGTGTGGATAAGGGCAGAGCCAAATTATTGGATGGGGGTACCTCCTTTCCCCTCTCCATTCTCCCCTCCTAAGCAGGGAAGCCCAGTACCACACAAAGGGTAAATTATTGCTAAGTTTGGTAATTTCAAGTAGGTCCAAAACAGCCTCAACATTAATGGGTATTTGTGGCATGTGTTAAAAAGTTCAGGGAGGTGATCGCAAGTAGAAACTTCTGGGGGAGATTTCAGCAATTTACCGAAAGAAAAATTTAGTTTTGGTTGAGTCATCTTGGTCACTATATATAATACAGACACCTGAACTAAAGTCACAAAGCGTTCCATATACTCATATACAGATAAAAAAACTGAAAACTCTACCACTAACATTCGTCATGATCATCGATCGTCTATCTTGTTCATCATTATCATCATCTCCATACATATATATACAGCATGGGGTATATATATATATATATATACACGAAATGGTCAGGTCAGCAGCTTCTGTGTAACTGTAAACGCTGTCCCAAGTAAACAAGGTGCCAAGTGAGCCCCATAAGAGTCAGAACGTTCAGGAAAGATGAGTATGTATTCAGTTGCTTTAGCCTCTGGTTTAGCTTCCCTAGCCTTGTCTTTGCTTCCTCCTGTTCGGCTAGTTTTGCTCGAGAGGAAGTAGTAGTAGTAGTACCGGTGGTTCCTATCGGCTTAGCGCCACCACTAGCGGTGGGAGTGGTGGTTGTTGTGAGGCCGGAAACCGGTGGTGGCTCGGCTACCGTGTCTACATCTCTCCCTCTCCCCTCTTCCTTCTCTGCCTTCATTCTCTCAAACATCACCTGTAAAAAGTTACAAGGAGGCAATTCAGACTCGTCCTGTCATTCAGGCTCGAGGCAAATAGAAGGGAGAAGAACATGTGTTGATGTGTGTGGGAGATGTACCTTCGTGGCTTGGGGCTCCAAGTAAAGCAAGTTAACGAGGACCATCACAAGATATCCGAGCAGATTATAGGCCTGAAGCGTCTCAGCCGGGCCAGACACCACCCGACCTTGTCGACCCAAGAAATGCGCAACCAACGCAGTCCCAATGCTGTAAGCCATCGCCCTAAAATAAACAGGATAGATCTTGCTCTGCACCACTCCAAACTGCTGCCTCGGCAGAGCCCCGGCCAAGACGTGGCTCGACACGAATGTCACCCACACGCACATCCCATAGGCCGTCGCAAACCCGATCAATTCCAGCAGACCCATCAACGAGCTCACCGTTTCCGGCGACACTGCATACATCGCAGCGTCGTATGCCACCTCCCGGCCTCGCCGGAAAATTTCGGTTAAGTTCTGTTGCGCCCTGCGCTTGGTCAGATCGACACTGGTCTTCACTTGCTCTGCCACCTCCTCGGTCTTCTCTTCAGCTTTCATCGCCTTATCTGCAACTTCTTGGCCTGCGGACTTCATTTTGTCTGCTAAATTAGAAGCCAAGTCTTCTCCTGCCGATTTAGTTCTCTCAACAGCGGTCTCTCCGGCATGCTTCACTGTCTCTACCGTTCCTTTGGCTCCTTCTTCGACAGCATGCGCCTTGTCTGCAACCTTCTCTTTTGTTTTACCCATGGCTTCTGCAATCTTATGCTTGCACTTGCCAAAGGCATCGCAGACGAGCTCTCTGGTTCCGGAGCGGGCATCATGAACTGGTGGAAACTGTTGGGACGTAGAAGGAACAGATGTGGAGGTGCCTTGGCCGAGATTGGGAAGAACAGAAGAGGCTTCTTTGAGTTTCTCTTTTGTGGTCTCGAGAACCCCTTCTGCCGCCTCCGAGGCCTTGCCTCCGACGGCAGAAGAGATGGAGCGAATATCATGAGTTGGTGGGGACTTAGAATGAACAGACGTGGAAATGCCTTGGCCAAGATTGGGAAGAACAGAAGAGGCTTCTTTGAATTTCTCTTTTGCAGTCTCCAGCACCCCTTCTGCCGCCGCCTCTGAGGACTTGCCTCCGGCTGTAGAAGAATAGGTTTTATCCGCCGCCTCCACAAGCTTATGGGTAGTGCCGGTTTCTTCCGGTGAAATCGAAACTCTGGTATTTCTCGGACCTTGTTTCTCGTACTCGACGACTACAACTCGGTGGCCATTTTTCACTATCACCTCTTGGTCGTCCGGCTTGTGCCTCTCTATCTGTGGAGACCACAAGCCTGCCGCTACAAGAGAAGACAAAACCAGACTAAGAGCCAAAACATTCATCATCTCTCTCTGTCTCTCTTGATCTTTCTCTCTCTCTCTCTTTCCTTCTTCTGGTATTCGAAACAATGGAGGAGGTGAAGGAGAAGTTCTCTTCCGTTAATTTGGGTACATTGGGTTGATTTTGATGAAGCTTCATGACAGACCCACGTAGCCGGATGATGTTTAGTGCACAACAAGTGTCGAACCTTGAAACAACGTGTCGTTCATGGTGTTGCTCCGTGTAAAGCGAGAATCATCTGCGTATTTACTGGAAGGTGGCGCCGTGGCGGAACCTAGTGTGGTTGCAGACTCGCAGTTCTTATTTGGTGTAGACTCGGCGAGTGGATTCTTGAATCGGTAGAAGACACCAGCCGACCAGCGAGTCACCTCAAAACTCGCGCGCTTGTGACATTGCTTCCTACTTACTAGTCAATATGTGTCATAAAACCCCGACCAAGAAACTCGGTTTGAGTGGTAAACGAACTTATTTCCTTCTTTTTATTTTGGGAAAATCCTTTGTAGTAGTCCTTTTTAGAGTGTGTTTGATTGCTGCTTTTGGTTTCATTCATGTTTACTTTTATTGGTCAATGCTTGATATTTGTATAGCCCCACCCATCACATAGTATCACTTAATCCTAATTAGAAAGATTAAAACCTTAAAGAGGATGATTTGGCTCGACCTACGAAATGGTGACATGTGGACCTGATTTAGCGCGAATAACAATTCAACATCGTGGTCTATTACGACGAAGTGATGAGCCCATAAAGCAGCTCGCTGCATCGTAGCTCGTAAAGAAGGAGCTCGCTACAACGTGAGCTCCGGGTTCCCCAAGCTATCCCGAAGGGGATATTCCGAGGCAACTTTAGCTTGCGAGCTAGGGAAACCAGCTCGCCCGGGACCCCAAGCAGATAAGCCGTCCTAGGGACCAATTCTACTAAGGGTAACCCTGAAGTACTCCCAAGCTCGCTACAAAGTGGCTCGCAAGTGCGCAGCGTGAGCGTCCCTCAAGAAGCTTCTATCAAACAGGCCATACCGATCAGACTGCGCCATGTCCCTTAACTGACGGCGCAGTCCCTGTCCTTTAGACAGTTTACGCCCACGTCTCTCAGTAGGCGGAGGCGTGCCTTCCCCTTGGAAACGTGTCACTCACCCCGGCAAGGAGTACGTTGCAACGGCCACCTGCACAACCCTGGCAGGTAACGGTTGTGGCAGGGGTCCAGTGGCGGTTACGCCCGATCTGACAAGAACACCCCTATAAAAGCCCTCAAGGCAGAGGGGAAAAAGGATCTTCAGACTTTGGAACACTTTAACATTCTCATACTCTAAACTGCATACATCTTTGCTCACGAGCTAATCTCTCGAGCACAGTGATAAAGCGCGACCTACACTCTTAGCTTTAGCACTCTTCTTTTCTCTTTCCCCTGCGTTCTGACTTAAGCATCGGAGTATTCCCACCGGGTAAATCCCCCGGAATCCTTCTTTTCCGTCTTCTCAGGTGCCGTCCATCGCCAACAATGAGCCAGTCAGCAGACAGCTAGGAGTGCCCCGATCGCGCCGCATCAACATTATTTTATGTTTTTTTGAAAATTATATTCTTCATCTCCTCTATGTTGTTTGCCGCCCAAGAAAGATTTATCGTAAGTCATAATTCATAATAAACTATAATCATTTCTAACACTTGTTTTTCTAAATTTTGTACCAAAAGAACAAAAAAAAAAACATCAACAAACAAATACTAATGAAATATAGGATTAATATATGTAGTGAAAGTTGAGTTAAGATCTAAAATCGAGAAATTCTATGAGGTTTTAAGGGATGGGAAGAAGGTTGGGTTGGGCCTAACCCGAGCCCAATCCTACCCGAAATTGACTTCTGGTTGGGTTGGGTTGGGTTAGGGTTGAAGGAATTTAGTTAGGTTTAGGGTTGGGTTGGTCGAGTTGAAGGTCGGGTTGGGTTAGGGTTAGGGTTGGCTTCAACCCGACCTAACCCGGCCTGACTTGCAGCCCTAAGCAAAACAATACTGGCTAGTTCCAGGAGGGTTAGAGAATCCAAATGAAGATGAACTGGACAAGGATCAAAATGAACAAAAGAAATTAGAAGAGAAATGCCAAAAGGCTCTATATGGGAAGGTTGTTGCGGACAAACAGATGAATGCTTTTGAGTTATCCAAAAAACCAAAGAATTTTTTGCCAAATGACACGTACGAGGTGAAATGCCTAAGAGATGAAATACTATGAGTAGTTTTCAAAAAGAAATCAGATCTAGAGATGTTTTCAAGCCAAGAGTCCGGGCTCGTAAATGGATTCCCATTGGTGTTGAAAAGATGGGAGCAAAACTCGATACCTCAGACTTTAATGGTCCAGATTTTGGGCTTGGGGAGCAAAATGGTAGTCAAAGAAGAGAGGGATTATAGCTAATAATGGCAACTTCTGGGTTTTATTATCAATAAAAATAATCTTTTTAACATAATTTCTAGAATAGGGTAACTTTTTTAAAAAATATAAAAAAAGGGTAGAGACACTATTTATCTCCTTCCTCCTTTAGACTATCGAACAAATCTCTCCACCTCCGGTGCTGGGGAGGCGATGTCTACGGAACTCCCTCACTTCCTCCACTGTAGCTTCCCTGAACTCCCTCAACCCCTCCTTATCCATCACCGTCATCACCTCCTCTTCGCTATCCTTCAATACCATGCTTTCCATCTCTTTGTGCTCTCCGATCACATCTCTCAACAAATAATGCCTCGCACGAAGCCGCAATCAAAGCGCTAATCGTCCACACCACTCTCAACTTCAATCCTCCCCCTCCGTCTTCATCGTTGAAGTCCACGTCATCCCCATTTCTGTTGCCTCCCCCATCATCAATCACTTCTCCGATGGTCCGGACCACAAAAATTATGAAGCTCTTCAAAGTTTTCCCAAACTCCGCCCTCCATCTCACAACCACATACTTCTCTAAACGGAGATCTCCAACTGAAAGTTTGATCTCAAGCCGTCGGGTACTCTTGAATCCGCGAAGGATTTCAATGGGAGAGTTCCTGTTTTGGGGCTGGATTGGAAGTCATCTCAGGTATATCAAGTCTTGCAAGGACTGGAGGATAGACCTGAGAAGGTGTAGTAGAAAGCTCCACTCACCAGTTTTGTTGGAGATGACACGATTAACCTTCACCACTAGGTTGTCGGCTTGCGGGAGGAGGGAGTTGAAGCGTTTCGACACAACTCAGCAACGGATTAAGGATTTGATGTCAGATAAGTGGTTGAAGATGAGAAGAACGATGGGGTTAGGGATGCAATCGAAGACTTCGATTTCTAAGGTCAGAAGATGCACCAGAGGTGAGGAGATTTGTTCAGTGGTCTGAAGGAGGAAGGAGATAAGTAGTGTTTCTACCCTTTTCTGATATTTTTTAAAAAAGTTACCCTATTCTAGAAATTATGTTAAATAGATTATTTTTTTTTATGATAAGACTCAAAAGTTGCCCTTATCAGCTATAATCCCAAAAAGAGAAGGAGGATAGCTTAGAAGAAGACGAGCCCTTGAGGAACAAAGCATACAAAATAAGGGTAATCATTGACATCACAAAACCTTTGGCCCTAGGTAACTTGGATATAGATGAAAATGGTGTGGAAAAATGGTTCGGTTTCCAATATGAAAGGTTGCTGATCTTTTGTGGATGATGTGGCATAATAGGATACAGAGATCAAGGCTACAACAATGTATCTGAGGAGTAATTTCTAGACAAACTAACAAAAAGGATGGAAAAACAATCTAGGAATGAAGAGAGAGTTTCTAGGTATTATGGGGAGTGGCTTCGTGTAAATCCAAAAAGTAAAGATTTTAGGACAATAAACAAAGGAAGCCTAGAAAACAAGAAGTCAAGGTGAAAAGAAAGGGAGATGAGAGAGATGATGAGTCGGGAAGCCTACAACCAAAATCAGAGTCAAGGAATGGTGATAGAAATCTAATGCTGGCATCACTGGAAAGGGTAGTAGAAAGACATCAGCTTCAGGTGGTGAACGCCTCAATCCAAATAAGACCTTTTTAGGAAGGGCAAAGCCAAGAAGAAAATGTAAACACAGTTTGGATCGATGGAAGCGCCTATCATGTAATGATTTCACTAGCCAAGGATGATTGGAGGGAAGTTCTCATTGGAGAAGAAAACACAAAAGGCTATAGAGGGGGAAGGGAGTTTGACAGCATGGGGGTGTCTACTGACGGAAACAGTACAATAAGAAGCGGCGACTTGTCAAATCAAAATCAAGTTGAGATAAGGCGAACTGATGATGTAGCAAGAATGAGGGGACAACTAGAAAGTGCAGAAAAAGGAAAATATCTCATCTTGTTAGAAGAGCATCTAATTAGGAAAAGAAAGGGTAAGGTTGTATCAACTAAAGAAACTTTAATTTGACTTTTGAAACTTTCATGGAAAAGAAAAAGAACCAATCTGGGATTGTGATACAAGAAATAGAAGAGGAAGTACCAGAGTCGAGGAAAAATATAGTTAGTGGGACAAAATGGGCTAAAATCAACCCGAAACAAAAAATGGGTCTATCAAAATGCATTTTAGAGGAAGATGGCCTGCTAACAAGAGGAAACCTATCCCCGATCCTGGAGTTGTCCCTAAACTAGGAACCAATGAATTTAGACAAGCAATCTACTAGAATGGAGCTGGATGAGCATGGAAATCAACTACTAGGCTCGAGAAACACAAATGAAAGGTATTCCTTATCATAGGAGGAAGAGGTATGGCCATAAACAACTACTAAATTCTTTAATTCAAATTATGATGATAATGCTTACTATTGGTTTAATTTGCTCATTAGCAAAAAAAAAAAAAAAGAGATGTCAAAAGTCTATAAAAAACTTGGTGGCATAAAAGAAAAAAGCAGAAAGAGGAACAAATGTTTATAAAAAAAGGAAAAATGCTAATGAGAGATTTAAAACATCTCCAAATGAGATAAACAAGAACCTACCAAGGAAAAACTAGAAAAAAAATAAAGTTATCAAAGTCCCAAATACTCAAAAAAAGAGGTCAAAATTTGAGTTTTGTCTGGGTTCCAATGCTAAATAATGTTGACTACTGGGAGTATCTGAGCATGATAGAAATTCGAGATAGTAATTTAGTTACAAACATAAATTCCCCTACGAAAGAGAGAAGTTTTAGTGGCAAAAGAGAACATTAGTTAGAAAGAATTAGGAACAGGGGAAGCTATCTTCATAAGTCTGGGATCATCAAAACCTTGAAAGTAGATAGTCTGGAAACCGTAACCAAAGATAATAAGTGAGTTGGGGTTCTGTCCTGGAACAGACCCAGGGGCCAAATGAGAATTCTAAGCTGTAATTGCCAAGGTATCAGGTCTCCCCTAACAATTTGCACTCTCAAAGAGACTTATCAAAGCTCCAAGCCTAATGCGACCTTTCTATGTGAAACAAAGAATTACCTCATAACTTGTAAAAGAAAGTTGGCTTTCTTAAAACTTTGGAATTGTTGGGGGTGTGATTCTATTGGAATTAAAGGTGGGCTGGTCTTGTTTTGGAAGGATGGAACAAAAGAAAAAGTTTTATTTGCAGATCAAAATTTTATTCATGT